AATGAATAAATAAATAAATTATGCCAGGAGGGGAGCTCCTGCTGTTAGATCCAGCTTCTGATAGCAAAAAAAATTACACCAGGTGGGAAGCTCCTGCTGTTAGATCCAGCTTCTGGAAAAGGATAATAATAATAATAATAATAATAATAATAATAATAATAATAAAAGGAATTTAATTAATTATAATAATAATAATAAAATAAAATAAATAGATCTATATAGATGTAATAGTGGCAAATATGGGAATAAGTTAAAACTTCCTATGGCCAGTTCAAGGAACGCCTAATAGCTCAGCTAGCTGAGCAAAAGCTATAGGCTCAGGCTATGGTTTTGGAGTGAGCTCCCACTGTTAGCCACAACTTATGTTAGCTTTACAGTTAGGCTAAATACAAATTTGAATAAATCAATAGGCTCCAGCGGTAGGCTTGGGTCATATATACGGGAGGAGATCCCGCTGTTAGCCCCAGCTTGTGTTAATTTTACAACGGACTAACTGCAAATGTGAGTAGATCAATAGACCCCCATACACCTGGCTCGGGCCAGGTGTATGGGGCGAGCTCCCACTGTTGGCCCCAGCTTATATTAACTGCACAGTTGACCTAAATGCGAAAGTGACTAAATCAATAGGCCCCGGTCCGCGTTAGACATCATTTCACGGTGGCTTCAGGAGCAGAGCGGTTACACAAATTGAGTCAATTCATAGTGAATTAGTTACTGAAATATTGTGGTGACTGAAGGGTGAGCTTGAGGTGTTAGCCCCAGCTCGAACAGTTTATAACACTACAAGAGTTGGGTTAGATAACAGAGGTGAAACAGTCTTTCCTTGCTCATATATATATATAGATGTGACAAAGTCATCGTCAATTTTTCTTTCAGGATGGTGCCAAAGAAGAACGTGGGCAGCCCTAAGGGAAAGGGACCTGCCAAGAAGACTCCGGCGAAGCGCCCCCTCCCTCCCCACGAATCATCATCGGAGGACGAGGGCGTTTCGGCCGAGGACCTGGATGCATTGATGGCTAGGATGGACAAATTTGAGAGGGAGAGGGGGCTTCCAGTGCGGGAGGCTGGGCCGCGTCCAGCGCGCCGAGCTAGCCGAAAGTTAATTTTTAAAAAATCTACTTTCTCGCATGTCTTTTTTAGAGGCCGGCCGAACATCTGTGACGCACGAAGGAGAGCGAGCTAGCCAGCCTGAGCCCAATCAGAGGGAACAAGATCTCCCGGCTCCGATGGTGCGTCAGCCTCAAGCAGTCGTTAGTCAAGGGTCGGCAGCCAATCTAGCGACAGCAGCACTCCCCAGCCCGACCCAGGCTGTACCTCAGCCTCCACCAGTTATGGCCAAGACGCAGCCTGCAAATACAGCGCCATCATCGGCCACCAAGCCAACGGATCCGGTGACGACAACTCCTTTGGCACCACCGACCGCGCCAGAGCCGGCGGTATCGGGACATGGCTTCCATGCAAACCATCGTTGTGGATAGACCTTCGACGTCCACAGGTAATAACACCACACTGGTCTGGCCCTGGGGCCAGAGCCAGACACAA